CCAACTTTCTTTGATTAATGTTATCATGGTATATCTTTCTTTATCACTTTACTTATTGCTTATTTTTATTATAACTTATTATGTCTTTGTATTTAATATATGTTTCCTATGGGTAGCATATAGTTAAGTCTTGCTCTTGCATCTTTTTTTTAATGCTAACTTAAAAAAATTTTTTTAGTGTTTTTTTTGGGGGGAGGTAATTATGTTTATTTATTTAACTTTTTTTTAATGGAGGTTCTGAGGATTGAACCCAGGACCTCCTGCATATTAAGCATGCACTCTACCATTTGAATTATATCCTCCCCACAATCTCTCTTTTAATTAGGATATTTAGATAATTTATATTTGATGTGATATGGATGTGATCATTTGATGTTTGTTTTCTATTTGTCCCCTCTGTTCCTTTTCCATTTTTCTGTTTTCTTTTCTTTTTTTTTTAGAATGTCTTTCTGATTGATTTATTTGGATTATATTTTTAAAATTATAGTTATTAAGATTAATGTTTTAACTTTGTCTTTTTTGTTAGTTTTATTAGTTATAACTTTTTTGTCTTGTTATTCTAGTGGCTGCTTTAAATTTTGAACACAACTTGTAATCATCACAGGCTAGTTTTTTTTTTTTTTACATTTTTTATTGATTCATAATCATTTTACAGTGTTGTGTCAAATTCCATTGTTCAGCACAATTTTTCACTCATTCATGGACATATACACACTCATTGTCACATTTTTTTTCTCTCATCACAGGCTAGTTTTTAGTGCTACTACATCACTTCCTATATTGTATAAAAACATATCAATAGCATACTTCTGTTTTCCTCATTCCCAATTGTCTATTATTGTCACATATTTTTACATAATTAGTTACATAACTAGTAAGCCACACAGAACATTGTTATTCCTTGTTTAAATAGTCAATTATCTTTTAAAAGTATTTAAATATTAAGAACACATCATTATACCTTTATCCATATAGTTACCAATTCTGATACTTTTCATTTCTTTTATAGATCTGTATATCCTCATGTATCATGGTGCATCTGCCCAGAGACCATCCTTTACAATTTCTTGTAATGCAAGTTTGCTGTGGGTGAATGCGTTATGCTTTTATGTATCTTAAAATGTCATTATTTTGTCTTAATTTTTGAAAGACATTTTCATGGAACATGGAATTTTAAGTTGACAGAGTCTCTTTCAGTTCTTAAAGCTGTTACTGCACTGATCTCTCACATTATTTCTGACAATTCTGCTGTTTTCTTGTCTTAGTCCCCCTGTATATAATGCCTTTTTTCTTCTAGTTGATTTTAATATTTTCTCTTTATGACTGGTTTTGAGCTAGTTCATAATAAGGTGCCTTGATATTTCCTGTTTCTTGTGATTGAGGTTCAGGGAGCTCCCTGCATCTGTGAATTTATAGTTTTTATCAAATTTGGTACATTTTTTTGTCCTTATGTCATCAAATATTTTTCTTGTCTCTACCCTCTTTCAGGAACCCCAATTATCTGTATATTAGGTTCTTTGAAGTTTTTTTACAGCTCAACTGATGCTTTGTTTATTTTTAGAAATTCTTCTTTCTCTCTGTGTTTCATTCTTCATAAAAATTAGGACTTTTCCTGTCTTCCTGGACACACGTGTGCTTCAGGCACTGTTCCGTCTAGTCCTCTCTCGTGGCTCCTCTCCAGCATTGGTAACTTCTTCACACACATATATGCTCACTGGTGCTCAGCCGAACATTCAAGGGAAATCCAAGGTCCCCTCCCTGTGCGTTTCTCCTCTCCAGTACTCTGCCTCGTGACCTCCAGCCACCTTGGTCTTGCAGACACTCAGCTCCATCTCCTCAGCTCAGAATTCACCAGACTGCCCCCGAAATGCCCCTGTCTGTGCCCCAGCCTGAAAACACGGTTCAGGTAGTCGGCTGGGACGACTGTTGCACTCACTTCGCTTGCTTCCTTTTCCTCAAGGATTACTGTCCTCTGTTGCCCAGTGTCCAGTGTCTGAAAAACGATTGTTTCACCTAATTTGTTACTTGCATGTTTGTGGAAAACAATTATTTCTTATAATTTATTATTTATATGTGTGTAGGGGTAAATCTAGAAGCTTATGTCTTCTCAATACTTTTATTTGAAACCCTGGGTAAACTTGATAATTTCCTAGGAATATAAAATTTACTTAAACCGACGTGAAAAATGTAAAGACACTCTTTTCCAGAAAGGAAATAGAAAAAAATTGCCAGTGAAATCTCCAGAAATCACTAGATTCAGTTGTTTTCACAAACAATTCTACCAAACTTTTAAGTAGTAAAAATTCAATGCTGTTAAAAGGTTCTGTTCCAGAACTTAGAAAAAGAAAAGCTTCCAAGTCATTTTTATGCCATGAGCGTAGTAATCAAATTCAACAAAGACCAGTGCAACTTGAGAGTATCGATTAAAAATTCGTAAGTAAAATACTGCTCACTAGAACTCTGCAGCAAATAAAAATAGTAATTGGCTATAGCCAAGCACATTTTATTCCCAGAATGTAAGAGGTGCTCAATGGTAGGAAATTATTAGTATGGTTATTAATAGAGCTAAATTGAAACAGCATGTGCTTATTTCCACGGATGCTGAAAGGTCAATATCAATAAAATTCAATATCCATTAATGAGAAAGTTTGCTTAATAAAATAGGTATAAATGTCTGCTGTGTGATTAAGATAAAATATACCTATTTCAGCCTCAAAGCAGCAGCATCCTTTTGACTGTAAAGTACTTCTATTAAGTTAAATAATAAGACAGGAATGCCCACTTCTGTCATTATGATTTTAATTTGTTTTGGAAGTGCCATGCGATACAACTGGAAGCAGAAATCAAATCATGATCAGATTTGCACAACATGTAAATTACATCTTATGTATTAATTCATTACGTAAGTGGAAAATCAGAGCATCCTCTGGAGAAAAATTATTACAGACAATAAGAGAATTCAATGGCATGGCTTGACACACAATCACATACAGAATTCTACAACCTTTATGTATAAAAGCAACAACTGATTGGAAGAACTAAATGGAAGAAAAGATCATATCCAAAATATTAGGAAAAATAAGAAATGTACAAAAAATGTGGAAAATCAATGAGAAAAACTGTAAAATTCTTGTGAAGATCATTAAAAAAAAACCCACCTGTACAGGTAGAAAGACTGCCTATGTACTTGAGCAGAGGACTCAACATTACAAAGATTTTAATTCCTCCTATAAGTTAAATTCTAGCATTATTTAGAATCCAATAAAAATATTACTGGTTCTTTTTTTAACTAGGCAAAGTTCTTATGGAAAAAACTAAATTAAAAAATAGGGCAAAAACTATGTGAAAAACAACAATGATGAGCAGGGACTAACCCTAACAGAAGTTCAAACACATTATGAAGTTTCAATAATTAAAATGGTGTGATGTTGGTGCATGAATTTATAGATCAATGCCACAGGTTAGAATGTCCGGAGAGATATAGTGCTATGGACTTGTGAAAATTCACTAGATTATAGAATTGGCATTTCATAGGTGAAAAAGAAAAAGACGAATTATTCAGTAAATGCTTTTGGACAAATAGGGAAGCATCTAAAAATACAAAATTCTATCTTGCAGTTTACATTAAAATTCTAGATAGATCAAATATTTCAGTATTTTTTGATTGTTAAAAATATTAGAAGAGATGGTCCACCATATAAGGAGCTTGGAGGTTGCCACTCCCATCCTCATACTAAGAAAAAAGCTGAAAACTGAAAAAAAACAAGTCTTTTATGTACATCAGAGAATTAAGGTCATGGTGTAAACTACCACCCTGAAAACTGGAAACGGGAAGCTACAGAGAACCATGGCTTACCTGGAGCAGATCCACTCAGAAACCATCACTGGAGCCAGCATCAGATAGGAATTCTTAAAATGTAATTGATTAAATGCAGGAGCCTGTGCATGGACTAGTTTGAGACATAAAACCTCCTGGAGGCTGAGCCTTGTGAGAGGGGGTGTATGACTTCTTGAATTTTATCTCTGGGAGCCTTATCAGGTTCTCAGGGTGCAGATCAGAGAAGTGTCTCCTCATGCTTCCAGCGGGGGAGAAGGGTTTGGTAAAAAAAAGCAACCATTTAAAAACATGCCTAGAGCATTCTTTTCTTAACAAAGGAAAATATTTCAGCAGAGACTAGCCAGTCTGGGTTTTTCCAGAGCCTAATAACCTAGGGAAATACCCAACTTCAGTTCCCTCCAGCCTTTCGTGTGGGAGAAGGGAAATGCCAACCCAAGCCTCCATTAGCTGTCTTGACTCACCTAAAGGGGAAAGGGACAAGAGACTGAGCAGCACTTGTGAAGCTCCCAGCCCAGGGCACTGGGTCACTCAAAGACTAAAGCCAGTCACAGGACTATCAAACACTTCCCGTCTCCCCCCTCCCCCCGCCCCGACACCTCATCACCACATCACAAAAGACCCATTTACCACATGCACCTTTAACCAGTATATCATGTCCTGCGTTCAACCAAAAATTGCGAAGCCTACTAAAAGGCAAAAACAGAGTTTGAAGAGACAGAGCAAGCATCAGAACCAGAGTCAGATATGGCCAGAAGGTTGGAACTATCAGACCAGGAATTTTAAAGTATAGTTAATATACTGAGGGCTATAATGAAAAAACCAGACATCATGCAAAACAGATGGATAGTGTAAACAGAAAGATGGAAATTCTAAGACAGAATCAAAAAGAAATGCTAGAAATTAGAAACACTGTAAAAGAAATGAAGAATGCTTTTGATGGGGACATTAGTAGACTGGACATGGCTGAAGAAAGAACCTCTGAACTTGAAGATATGGCAATAAGAACTTCCCAAACTGAAGAGCAAAGAGGAGAGACTGAAAAAAAGTGGAGCAAAATAGTCAAGCACTGTGGGACCAATTACTAGAAGGAAAATTAAAAAAGAGAGACAGGAAGATAAGAAATGTCTGAACCAATAATGAATGAGAATTTTTCAAAATTAATTTCAGAAACCAAGCCACAGACCCAGGAAGCTCAGAGAACTCCAAGAAGGATAAATCTCAAACACTATACTTAGGCACAGCATATTCCAACTGCAGCAAATAAAGAGAAAGGAAAAAAATCTTGAAAGGAGTCAGAGTGAAAAAAAAAAACTTTACTTATAGAGGAGCAAGGATAAGAATTACATTGGACTTCTTTTCAAAAACCACGCAAGCATATTAATAGTATTGAACAACAATGACAAAAACCCTCAGCTCCCAAAACTTTTGCATCCAGTGAAATTATCCTTCAAAAGTGAAGCAATACTTTCTCAGACAAACGATAATTGAGGCAATTTGTTGCCAGCAGATCTGCCTTGCAAGAAATATTAGAAGTTCTTCAGAGAGAAGGAAAACGATAAAGGTCAGACACTTGGATCTGCATATAGAAAGGAAAAGTGTTAGAGAAGGAATAAATAAAGGTAAAAATAGATCTTCTGTTTTTCTTACTCTTAATTGAGCTAACGGATAGTTTAGAAGGTAGTTATGCTCACTGCTGTACCACTAATGCTGCACAAACAGGTAACAATTTGGTCCACACAATAGCAACAGTGTGTTTGGTGATTATTGCTTATGGATGAGTGACATGAATGACAACAGTGATGTAACGGAAGGGAGGGAGGGACTGGGAATACCCTGTTATAGGTGCTTACCTGCCTGTGAAGAAGTATAGTGCTATTTGAAAGTGGACCCACATTAGTTGCAAATGTATGTTGTAAACTCTAGGGCAACTACCAAGAAAAGAGAAAAAAAAAGTATGATTAACATGCAAGGAGAGGAAAGAGAATGGAGCTATAAAATGCTTAATCAAAACCACAAAAAGCAGAAAAAGAGTGGAAGACAAAAACAGAAACAGAAAAAGGGCAAGAAATAGAAAACAATAGAAAATATGGTAGGTGTTAATTTAATTATATCAATAATCACTTTAAATTTCAATGGGTTAAGTGCACCAATTAAAAGACAAATACTATCACAGTGGATCAACAAGCAGGACCCAGCCTTATGTCATCTGTAAGAAAATCATATTAAATATAAGGACACATACAATAATAAGTAAAGAGATTGGGAAAGACATATCATGCGAATCGCAGTTACGAGAGGCTGGAGTAGCCATATTCATTTCAGACAAGCCAACTTTTGAAGAAGGAAGATTACCAGATATAAAGAGGGCTACTGCATAATGATAAAGGGGGCAACTCCCCAAGAAGACGTAATAGTCCTTAAGGTATGTGTGCCTTACAACAGAGTTTCAACATACATGAGACAAAAACTAACAGAAATTCAAAACGAAATGGATACATTCACCACTGTAGTTGGGGACTTTCACACCCCTGTGCCTGACAGTTCCAGCAGAGAGAGAAGTAGGAAGGACACCACTGAACTGAACACCACAATCGATGAACAGCATCTAGTTGACATTTGTAGACTGCTTCACCCAGCCACTGCAGAACACACGGTCTCCTAAGGCTCACATAGAACGTTCACCAGGACAGACTACGCTCTGGGCAATAAGACACATGTTAACAAGCTTAATAGAAAGCATACCATGTGTGCTCTCATACCACAGTGGAATTGAACTGGAGATCAATAACAGAAAGGCAGCTGGAAAACCCTGAACTCCTAAATAGCACACAGGGCAAAGAAGAAGCCTCAAGAGAAATTCAAAAATATTTTGAACTAAATGAAAATAAAAATACAACTTCCTGTGATTTGTGGGGTGCAGCAAAAGCAGTGCTTCGTGTTACTTTGATTGCATGTATTAGAAAAGAAGATGAATCTTAAAAAAAAAACTAAGCCTCCATATTAGCAAACTAGAAGAAGAGAAGCAAATTATATCCAAAGTAAGCCAAAAAAAAGAAATAATAAAATTATAGCAGGAATCAGTTAAACAGAAAACAGGAAATTAAGAGAAAATCAACACAATTAAAAGCTGTTTCTTTGAAATGATCATTAAAAAATCTGATAAACATTCTAGCCAAAGTGAAAAAAAAAGGGACACAAATAACTAATATCACAAATGAAAGAGGGGCCAGCACTACTGATCATAAGAACGTTAAAAAGATAATTAAAAATACTGTAAACATTCTATCTCCACAAATTTGATAACCTTGGTGAAATGGATCAACCCCTTGAAAGACGTAATCTTCCATAACCCACAGAAGAATCAGACAATCTGAATAAGTCTATGTCTATTAATGAAACTGAATCAATAATGTTAAAGGATTATTATCTGGGCATCATTCCCAGATGAGTTCATTGGTGAATCCCAGCAAACGTTTAAGGAAGAAATTCTATCTAATCTCTGAAATCCATTTCAGAAATTAGAAGCAGAGATAACACTTCCTAACTCATTCTGTGAGGCCAGCGTTACCCTAATGTCAAAACCAGACAAAGACATTAGAACAAAAGAAAACTACAGAGTAATATTTCTCGTGAACATAGATGCAAAAATCCTCAGCAAAATATTGGCAAGTTGAATCCAACAATGTGAGAAGAATTATACGCCTCAGTCAGGTAGGATTTATTCCAGGTGTGTAAGCGTGGCTTGAGATTTGAAAATCAGTCCTATCAACCAGCTAAGGAAAACATATTCATGATCATATCAGTCGATGCAGAAAAACACTTGACAAATTTCAACACCCATTTATGATAAAAATTATCTGCAAACTAGAAGAGAGAAGAATTACAAGACAGAAGAACTTCCTCAACTGGATAAAACAAAACAAAAAACATCAAAAACCGCTGTTGAAAGACCCCTACTGCTAACATCACAATCAGTGCTGAGATGCTAGACACTTTCTCTCTAAAATCACGAGCAAGACGAGGATGTTCCCTCCCATCAGTCCTGTCCAACATAGTACTGCACATCCTAGATAATGCGTCAAGGCCAGAAAAGGCAAGAAAAGGCACACAGTTTGGAAGAAAGAAGAAACGAAACTGTCTTTGTTCATAGACAGGAAATCCCCCAAAATAAAAAACAAACAAAGACACAAAGAAACAACAACAACAGAGTCCTGGAACTAACAAGAGATTGCAGCAAGGTTGAAGGATACAAAGTTAGTACACAAAAGTCAGTTGCTTTTCTTTATACCAGCAATGAACAATCAAAATTTGAAATTAAAAACACAATAATACCATTTACATTAGCAAAGAAAAAATGGAACGCTTAGGTATAAATCGAACAAAATATATACAAGATCTACATGATGAAAACTACGAAACTCTGATGAAAGAAATCAAAGAAGAACTACATAAATGTCCAGGCATTCCGTGTTCATGGATGAGAAGACTCAGTACTGTTAAAATCTCAGTTTTTCCCAGCTTTATCTATACATTCCATGCAGTCCCAATCAAAATGCCAGTGACTTACTCTGTAGATATCAATAAACTTGTAAAATTTATTTTTGGGGGGAAAGGCAAGAGACAGAGTAGCCAACATGATATTGAAGGAAACGGACAAAGTCAGAGGGCTGACAGACTATCTGACTTCAAGTCCTGCTGTAAAGCTGACTTAAATTATTAAGCTGTATTATAAAGCTATAATAGTCAGAACAGTGTGGCATTGGTGAAGGAACAAATAGACCAACGAAACAGAGTAGAGAGCCCAGTAAAAGACTTACACAAGTATAGTTAACTCGTCCCTGATGGAGGAGCAAAGGAAATCAGTGGAGAAAAGATGGACTTTAAAAAAAAAAGAATCTTGGAACAAGTGGACACACACATGTAAAAAACAGTTCTAGACTTGGACCCTGTATCTTTCACAAAAGTTAGCTCAATGTGGGCCATAAATTTAAATGTGGATTGCAAAACCGTAACCCCCCTGGGGAAAATCCAGGTAAACGTGGATTTGGTGGTGGCTCTTCAGACACACCAAAGGCACAATCTGTGAAAAAAAAAATGGATAAGGCGGACTTCCTTACAATTAAAAATTTCTGCTTCACAAAAGACACTGTTGAGAGCACGAGAAGAGCCAAGGACTGGGAGAAAGTCTTTGTGAAACATGTACCTGATAAAGATCTGTTATCTGAGATATCCACAAAGCTCTACAGTTCAACAATGGGAAAATGAAAAACCCAGTTAAAACTGGGCAAAAGATGTGACCAGATACCCCGCTAAGTATGCAGATGTATAGATGGCAAATAAGCATATGAAAATGTGCTCAGCGTCAGATACCACTAGGGAATTACAAATTAGAGCAACGCTCAGACATCCCTGCACGCCTGTTAGGCTGGCTGAAATCCAGAACACTGACAATGCTGAATGCGGTTTACAGAAACTCTATTCATCGCTGATGGGAATGCAGAACAGTAGAGCCATTTTGGAAAGCTTGGAACGACTTTGGGACTTTTTACAAAACTAAACAACTCTTTTTTTTTTTTCCAAAACTAAACAACTCTTAATATACCACCCAGAGACCATGCTCTTTGAAATTTAGCGAGATGAGTTGAAAACTTATGTCCACACACACACGCACACACACAAATCCTGCGCACGGATGTTTACAGCAGCTTTTTCCATGATTGCCCAAACCTGGGAGGAACCCAAGATGTCCTTTAGTAAGTGAATGAATGAATGAATAAGCTGTGATGTATCCAGCACTGAAAAAACGGGCTCTCAATCCAACAGGTCCGCGCGGTAGGTGCGCCTGGCACAGGACGGCTTTCCACAGGCTGCCTCGCCTGATCCTCACAGTGGCCTGTGCGCCCGGGGTCTCCTGCTTCCCTTTTACAGATCAGGAAGGAGCCGGACGCTCAGACA